CAACACTGCACGCTTTGGTATTCCTCGACCTAGTATGGGTCCAATGGAGCTCAAAAAGTGTGTGGGAAGGCGCTTTGTGCTTGATGTGGGTACAATAGCAAAGATCAAGTCTGGTGACATCAAAGTAATTAGTTAATCTTTTTTATTTTATGTTGTTGTCATTATAAAATTATCTTAATTGCATAGCTCATACTATTGTACTTATTGCATATTTCTAGGTGTTTCCGGCAATCCAAAGTTTCCAAGAGCATGGTGTAGAGTTTATTGATGGTAATGCGATCGAATCATTTGATGTTGTGATTCTTGCCACAGGTTACAAAAAGCAATGTTCCTTATTGGTTGAAGGTAGTATCACTTTTCTTTTGCTATGTTATCCTTATTGTTGATTGTGCCTTGAAAATAATTATGTATCTAATTAGATTTTTTTATTTATATATAGGAGAACGATTTTTTTTTCACACAAAGATGGATTTCCACGTAGACAAAATGAATGGAAAGGAAAGAATGGTCTCTATGCTGTTGGGTTCTCAAGACATGGTCTCCTTGGTGTGTCCATGGATGCCACCAAAATTGCAGAGGATATTGTGCAGTCTTACAATGACATATATAGGCTATGAAAATCATAAGAACAAATGATATTTGATTGTTTTATTGCTAAATTTAGCCATTATCAATTGAGTATTTTGTAAATATATGTACTAGTCTATTACAACAGTTGGATATGCTAGAAAACAAATATTAGGCTAGCTTATCTATCAACGCACTCATTATATAGTTGACATAGGCTAGTACATGTGTCATTTTAGAGGCCCAATAAAATAGGTGATAGGATTAATTTGTTATGTTTTTTCTTTCTAATTTTTTTGGAAAAATATTGTAAGTTGTTTTTGCTATTATCAACCACTTGTAATCGATAATATCTATCATTATGTTTATGGACACATCTTATTGCTTCTTATGATGATATTATATTTCTTTTGCAAAATGATGATTATATGGATTGTTAAATCTCAATATACAATAATTGGATTGAATATTTAATAAATATTTAAAAATAAGTATATTTTAACTACTTTAATTATTGTTTAACAATCATTTATGAGAATTATATTAAGACCAAAATTGCTACTCTTTTTTACCAATAATTGCTACTCTTTTTTTACCAACAAACATGTCAGGCTACAATAATTTAGATGAGTTACATAATAAATTCGTAGACCTTTTTGGACCACTTCAAAATAGGCATTACAGGTTATTGGGGGACTTGTCGCACTTCAAATAAGCGTTACAGGTTGTTGGTGACTTTCGCCAAAGAGAGGAGACTTGTTGCCAAAGAGAGTGGGGAAGGATCCCAAAGAGAGTCACCAAAGAGAGGAGACTGGGGAAGGATCCCAAAGAGAGTCACCAAAGAGAGGAGACTGTTCCCAAAGAGAGAGGCCAAAGAGAGAGAGGGAGGGAGGTTGAATAGTATAAAAAGGAGAGTGAGATGGAGGGAGGTTGAATAGTATAAAAAGTAGAGTGAGATGGCCATGGGTCATTTCCCTCTAAGCCTTAGTGCACCATTTATAGGTGTGGGAGATGGTTGTTTGTATTTACTTCCTCCGTGAGGCTATGAGTTACTAACAAGTCCTCAAACTTTGCAATTAGACCACTAGATGTTTATACATATGGCCCTAAACCTATCTACAGTATATTAGATACACAACCTATGCTAGTGTGGAAGTATAAGGGCCAACGGGTAGTTGGGGAGATTGTGAATGGCCAACCACTACCACAATCCTGAATTACTTGAGTGCTAAAGATTTTCTTGAGGGCCCAAACAAAATCGCCAAGGAAAGTGTAGTTCCTTCGCTGTGGACATAGAGCTCCAAGGAAATGGATATTCTTGAGTGCTAAACCAAACTGCCAAGGTAATTCCATGTTTCCTTGAGTGTTATTACAAACCACCAAAGTAATTGCTCATTTCCTTGGGTGTTATTTGAAACCACCAAGGTAATTCGTATATTCCTTGAGTGCTATTCAAATCGCCAAGGTAATACATAATTTTTTGGGTGTAATTTGAAACCCCAAGGAAATCTCAAAGCTTTAAAATATAATTTTTTGAATTTTTCAAATGACCTCAGATGGAGATATGACCTAAACCAAAGTTATAGTATTAGACGAGGTCTTAAACCTTTTAGTTCAAACTTTTTACATTTGTAATCATTTAGGATCTCAAATATTTATTACAAGACTCAACAAAGTGAATACAAAAGAAAAAAATAATTCATAAGTAGCCCTGAGGTGTAGTGGTAAGTGCTTTTCATTTGAAGTAATAGGTTGCAAGTTCAAATCTCAACAAAAGCCACTTTTGTTTATTTATGTTTTTTTGCTATTGCTCTATATTTCCTTGGAGGTTTCCTTGACAGTAGGAATATTTTCTTGAAGGTTTGCTGGCCCTAAAGAAAACTAATTTACTTGATAGTTGCAACATTTTCTTGTCTCTTTGGAAAATTAGGTACGGTCCTAGTTTTCTTGGCGGCTAGCCTCTAAGAAAATCATCCTTGAGTATAAAACCACCAAGGAAACTAATTTCCATTGTCTTCTACCCTTGACAGAGTTTGCTTGATGGTTTGTGGCCAAGGATCATTTGTCTAACGGTTTAGACCCTTTCCTTGGCAGTTTTTGGCACTCAATAGTTAACTCTGGATTGTGACAGTGAACGGGTTAAGGTACCTATGCCAATATGAAAATATAATGGTCAACGAGGAGTTAGGGAGACTGCGAATGGCCAACTATTAAGGTCTTACCAACAATTATAATTTCAAATATCGGTCTAATTTCACTACCAAGAATAGGCCTTCATTGCCAGTTCAAAAACCTCACCACTGCTGGTTTCTTGAACCGGCAGTAGGAAAGTGGCTGCGATGACAGGGCTCATCACTTGACGAGGTTTTCCAAAAAAAAACAAATTCAGGTGAAAAAATGGCAAAAAAAAAAATTAATACCGGGAAAGACCCCTACTTTGTGTGCCTTACCGTTTGAAAAACGTTGGCCATTCTTACAATCCTACTAGTAGTGTCAGGCATCTTTTATGAACAATGGGTCCATAATTTATGATACGCCCCCAAACACACACACATATATATACACATTGGCTCATCATGCTAATCACGATGTGTTACATTATATTATAAAAAAAGATTTGATTATGGCCATTTGGCACAACAGCCAATGGTCAATATATGTCAGTTGGATATGGTTCACCGAATATTTAGTCAATTACACTTACAAGGAGGTGGAAATTGTCTAAACGACGGGTATTACAACCATTTTCTATCTATTCATTGACAATTGGGACTATCGAGAATTAATTTGCTCAGTCAACCATCAGGTCTACTGCCTGACTAGTCAATTTCTAACACTCGAGAATCCTTTGTATGGTCAACTGTTTGATACAAATACTGATAACTCATTACTAATAAACCAGCTAGTACTAATAGTTCCAAACAGCCTAGTACTATTGGAATTAATCCCGGTAGGTGTCTAAGAGGCAATGATAGTCCCTATTGTATCATTGTTGGATCTTAAACCGGCAGTGTCGTGGGATACCAACGAACAGTGGCAGACCTAGGAAATCTGGCGAGCCCAAGCAAGGAACAAAGTCTAATAATAACAAGTGCTTAGAAACATAGATCCTATAGTACAAGTAAAATATGACAATGGCGTTAGTTCTATCTAGAATCATGTTGTAACACAAATTCGAATGATCATATGAATATGGAGAGCAAAACTTAATTAACAAAAAAATCACATGCTAGTTTTCTTGAATCAGATTTTGTGAATTACTCCAAGATTTAAGCACCGAATTGACTAATTAACCAAATCACCAGCTATCAAATCATGGCCAAATTTAACTTGTTGGCTACGTTGCTGCCCCTGATCGACTGCTTGTTGACATTGGTGCTATGACATACCCAGTGGCCGATGCTCCGGGACAGGTTGCGGCTAGGCTGGTGCAGCGCTGCCCTCTTATAGTAGCAAAAGGGACCTGAGGATGAAAGCAGAAAGCACGAGCACCCATATGGCTGAAGGCAGTAGCAGCACTGTGAATAAATTGGGTGGGGGATTATGAATGTCATGAACTCATGACCATGATTGGTGATTGTGTCTTGGTGGTGACCAGGTCTGGGAACTAGGAGCGGAGAGCTGCAGTGGCATGACCGAGGGTCCCTTCATTTCTTCTACATAAGCATTGACTTTGTTTGATCGTTTCGGCCGAGGGTCCCTTTGTTTCCTGCATTGACGCTCAGCAGTTGGGTCAAGAATGTATTGGGCCTCAGTGGCATTCGCACAAGAGCAGCCTGGATCGCCGGGTCTGCCCTAGATACCACTACCAGTTTGAGACAGCAACTAGCAGCGAAAGCACCTGCCTCATTGCCAGTTTGAGGCACCAACAAGTAGCAACAAGCAACGACACCTATTTCACTATTGGTTTGTGGCACCAACTGCTAGCAACAGCGCCTGTCTTGTTGCCGGTTTAAGGCACCAACTGGCAGTGACTGCACCCTGTCACACTATGTGCTTACTCGGCAACACTAGGGCCCACTCTCCTTCTACTACATCTACCCCACCCTATAATACACCAGTTAGAATAAATCTACAGCCATACAATAAATGTCTGCTCCACAGTCACTACATCCACATCTATAAATGCATCCAGAAAATATAACACCATCAAAACAGATGCACCAGATTATCTCTTAGCCATTCTCTCTCATTACTCGTTCAAATCCGACGGCTCATGTTTAGCGTGTCTGCCCTCCGTCGTCCTCCCGCGGACCTCCCGCGCGTGACCAGGCACCCACGTCCACGCCGAGCAACCACGGTTCGATTCCCACCTCCACCTTGTTTTACCCTTTTTTCCGAAAAAACGAAAGCTCAACGCGAGCCGGGGTCAGGAGACGGCGGCAGCGCCTCCACGCGCAGGAGCGCCCGTGCCTAGGGTTTGTCCGAAGGGCATGGCGGCTGCCCTCCTCCAGGCCCTGCTCGCTGTCGCTGGTGCTCCGTCCCCGTCGCGGAGTGGCCGGGCCACCATCGCGCGTCGACGATCCGTCTCCGGTATCCGGCGGCCAGCGTGCGGGCTCCACTCTCGCGCACGGCATGGCGCCGGCGTGAGGCGCGTTACGAACGGGCGCAAGCTCGAGCGGGCTCCGCCGCGGCCACGTGCGCACGAGCTCTGCCACAGCCTCTGGACGAACGTCGCCGCCGCCCTACGCCAAGTCTTCGTCGGCCCCTGCGACGAGCACCCACAAGGTATTTCCAGCATCTCTTCCCTTCCCTTCCCTTCCCTTCCTGCAAATTCTATCGGGAATGTTGAATGCATAGTGTATTTGCCCCGCAAAAACATTGCATCAGACGAGTTCATCAGCCTTGACGCACCTTGCGAGGCTGATGCGAAAGATGAAGGGGGAGAAAGATGCGAAAGATGAAGAGGTAGTAATCCCAAGCCATCTGCTGGGGCCTGGGAACATGGATCTTGAAGAGGGGCAAGTGGAAGATATGGACCTCGCGGATGATGACGTAGTGGTTGGAAAGGATCAGCTACTGGATGCTTCCATTCAGCCCGAGATTAGTGTTGCAGCTGTGCAGACTGTGACTGGTTTTGAGGTCAAGCTGGACAAGGGTGATGGGACTGAAAATGCACCAATTTATGAGTCAAACAGCATCTCTGTTCAAGAAAGTCGTATCCTATTGAATGGAATATTATGTATTTCTGCTAATATACTTCTGCAACTGCAAGTGCCTATGTTTTCTGAAGATTTATTTGTTTCCATTGAATCCTGGGAACTGTACTTGCATAAGAAGCGCAGACTCTTGGTCATACTCCTGGGACCCTACACATGTTATTGTGACTTGGGCCAAATTTATAGCTGTTGTTGTTCCTTGATATGGCATTTTTAGCCTCGAGAGGAGTTAAAAGAGCCCGTGTGGAATCAAAGGAGTCTTCTTCTAGCACATGACATTTTGTGGTAGCAACTTTCATGCTCCGGAAAATATTTTAAAACCATTTGGTTATTTTTAATAAGTATTGGTATCTTAATATCTCAGGGAAAGCAAAAGAAAGCTTACGCAACTAATGCAACAATGGTCTGAGTGGCAGGCCAGAAGGCAGCACCATTTGAAGGTACCGTTCTGTACAATTATGTATGCTACCTCCATTCATTTTTATCTGTATGTCCTTAGTCTTTGACAGTGCCATAGATGAGGTTAGCTGTTTCCACTGTGGGAATATGGGGGAGTATGAAACTAGAAATAAAGCAACGGCAACGCTATCAAATCAAATAAACATACTTCTCTGAACTCTGCAACTAGATTCCTGGAAGTCATTTCTACAAAGCTAATTACCTGCTACGGGGCTTGTACTATGTAATAGTAATTCTTATTATTTTTTTGCAGATCACTTTAGCATTTGGGCTGAGGCATTATAAATGTTTTCAGATTATATGATTTATGTATGAGATAGATAGATCATACAATTCTGTTCCTCATGTGTGTTGCAAGTTAATTTGGGGCCTAAGTATTTTGAAAGTTAGCCGTAACTTTCAGACCTTGGGATCAATAAATAATACACTGGTTTCAGTAGGCAAACATGTGCAGTTTGCCTCTATCTCTTGCACCCTGCAATCTTGATTAGTTGTAGCACAGCTAGGCAATGTTCTGAAGAGAGTATATGCAGAACAAGAACCTTGATAACTCTAAAAATTACAGTGAGAGTTTTAAAGTTTGGTAATTTTGATGCTTAACTAAGAATTCAGAATTTTGTTTCACCAGTGCCTATTCTATGAGGTTTCCTTGTATACCATTTCATGTGGTCGTGGGATGGCGTAAGATTGCCACTGATCAACCATATATTCTCTATGTATATTTTGTGCACTACATAGCAAATTAATAAGTTAACTTATTATCTGCCATGCACAACTATCAACTTCACCAATGACGGAATTCTTGGTGAACATCTTGAAGAGCCGTGCAAATAAATGTTTTCACATCTTCCCTGAAGATCCAAGGCCTACTTAAGATCTTAGGCAAATTGTAAATTAGATGGTTAAAGCGAGACATAACTTTATTATGCCTTATAATGCATAAGTGTTTTTCGAATTATATACATGGTCATATCCAATTGTGTGAAAGTTGAACTATGGAAAAAATATCGTCGTTTGGTTGTTTTCATGTGCATATCCGAAATGAAGCCGTGGCGTTAGCACGGGCACTATACTAGTTGTTCAATAATCTGCTAGTCCATTTATTTATTAACCGACCAGACCATCCATTATGTATTTTTCTTTAATGTAAGTATTGTGCGGTAGTCTGGTGCTTCGAATTTGCTAATAACTAACGACTGTGCGTGTGTCTTTTTTATTAGGCCTGACTAATAGGAAATAGTTTGGTGCTTTAAATTTTCTGAGAACTAGACCATCCTATCAATATATTTTCCTTTCGCCTTTCATATAACACGTTCATCCTATCTATACAATTTTACTCAAGATTTTCATTGTTTGGACTTGATCAATGATCTATTTGTGTGCCCTTTGTTTGCTTTGCATCCTCACAACCTAAGTACACACACTAAGGAAGTGTTTGGTTGGAGGCCAGACAAGGACGAAGTATTTCGTACCAGTATTTCTTTGAGGGGCGAGTGGGATGGAACCGCCTCTAGGAGAGAATATTCTTCTAAGTTTTTGTCTCTAAGCTTCCCTTAACAAACTCTGAGGTAGAAGCTCATCCCCTCACGACGTCATTTTCTTCCGTTGGCGTGCTTCCTCTTTCCCTATAGACGCATGCTCGGAAGGAGAAGGTGAGAGGGCGAGCGAGCTTGGTCTGCACAGGCGGCCCCGACTCTGGTGAGGGCAGCCATGGGAGAGTTTGGCCTTGCATTGGTGTGGCCCCGACGAGGGCAGCCGTGGGCGAGTTCGACCCAACCATACATCGGCCCACTAGTACACAGAATATTTGTACCGACGGTTCTAAATCTATTTTTACCGGCGCTTTTATTCACCGTCAGTGTGAAATGCCAGCGAAAATCATGAACTTTACAGGCGTCTTCTAGAGAAACGTCACTATAAATGATTTACACCGGCTGTTTTCATAAGAAAACAGTCACAACAAATGATTTACACTGGCCGTTTTCTTAAGAAAACCGCCACTACAAATGATTTTCAAAAATTACAAATCAGGCTAAAAAATAGCAAAAAAATTTTTATCTGAGGAGGCTCACGCACAAGGCAGCCACACACGGTTTTGAATGTTTTCACTCATTTTCGCAAGAAATCCATGCATTTGCGACCCCAGGAATCGAACTCAGCAACTCAGCCCACTTGTGACTAAATAGTAGAAATATACCCTTAGTATTCGCTATCGCAGATTTTAAAATTAAGATTTAAAGCCCTAAATGGATTCCAATGACAAAAGTTTCAACTACAAACTTTTAGATCTCATCGAGATCTACAACTTTGCTTTTGATCGTTTCCCGTCAGAGGCCATTTGAGAAATTAAAAAATATATAAATTTTAAAATCATTAATCTTAAAACATAATTTCTGTGCCCTAAATGATTTTAAATGAAAAGAAAGTTATCAACTACAAAGTTGTATATCTTTTTGAATCCTACAACATTTGTTCAGACCATTTCTCCATTCGAGATCATTTGAAAAACTCATAAAATTAATTTCAAATTATTTGTAGTGGCGCTGGGTCATGAAAACCGCCACTATAAATATATTTTTACTAGCTGTTTTCTTAAGGCAACCACCAGGAGAAATCATGTATTTTTACTGACGGTAAACTTAAGAAAACAGCCAATAAAAATGAATTTACATTGGCGGTTCATGATCTGGACCCACAGTTTTATTTATAGTGGCACCTATAGATTATGAACCGCCACCGAAACAATGGCCACCACCAAAAGAGATCGACGATGTACTAGTGGCCAACCCCGGCGTCGACCCCAACAAGGGCCGCCACGGGCGAGCTCGACCCGGCCATGGCATGGGTGGCCCCATCCCCAGCAAGTGCAGCCAAGGGCAAGCTCGACCAAGCAGCCTTGCGCGCAAGGAGCCTCGGCACTGCCGAGGGCGAGCTTGGCCCCGGCCATAGCGCAAACTACGGTGAAGGAGGAAAAAGAAGTCGAGAGAGGATGACACGTGGGCCCCACTAAACAGATGTGTATCCTTCATCTCCATTCCTTCAACTGAACATATAGCAGGGACGTCCTCGTCTCCTCAACCAAACATAGAGCAGGGACCATCACATTCAAAAAATTTGGAATGAATCTATCACGTCCCTCCTATCCCAAAAAACCAAACTAACCCTAACCAATGTACTTCACAAGTTTTACCACATCTTATATATCAGTGCATCAAATAACTGTCCATGTCCATATTAATTATCAATTTTGAAAATAACAAATCAAGCTATCCCTGTATAAGGTAGAATTCACCGTTTCCTTCCGTAACCACGTCCACAATGAACCAAGTATTGTTGAGCCATATGCACTAGCAGTAATTGTGAGTTTATTAACAGTTAGCAAAACGTTAATCGTTGTCCATTATTATCAATATCAATCTCCTAGTCGGCCATTGTACTTGCCATTGGCCTAGTTTGGGTCTTGGCGCGTTGCAAACTTGAGGTGGCATTTGGGCCTTTAAAAATCATATGAGTGTGGATAGTGAAAGGATTAAGATGCCCAAAAGGGGATGAATTAGGCTAATTCTAAATTTTTTGCAATAATTAAACCCTACACTTAGCTCATTTCACCCTCTTGTGTCCAGAAGTGTTTCTATTGTTCTACCGCATAAAAGTTTTGCACACTAGGTTCCAATCCTACTCTAACAAGGCAATTCTAAGAATGTAAAGACATGAATTGAATTGTTCAAACGTAGATGCTCAAGGTAAAGAGAAGGAGAGGATCGCGGAGATGTTTTTCCGAGGTATCGGAGAGTCGTCACTCTCCACTAGTTCTCGTTGGAGCACCCGCGCAAGGGTGTAGCTCCCCCCTTGATCCACGCAAGGATCAAGTGCTCTCTACGGGCTGATTCTTTGACACTCCGTCGTGGTGAATCGCCCACCCCGCTCACACCGTGACTTGGGTCATTCACAAGCTCCTTTGGATGATCACCGAGCTTCCAATCACCACCGAGCCGTCTAGGTGATGACGATCACCAAGAGTAACAAGCACGAACTCTCACTTGACCCAACTAAGCCTAATAAGAAGAGTGGATGCACACTTTCTACTCTCTATGCACTAATGAGGTCCTTAATATTGGATTAGCAAATCTCAATCACCCCACTAGGCTCTTGCTCTCCCTTGCACACCAAATGGTTTCCTCAGCTGAACAAATGGGCAAGAGAGCTAAGTTGGACGAGTAGAAGTATTTATACTCCCCCATTCAAAACATGACCGTTACTATCCAACTCAGCAAAACACGAGGTGACCGGACGTGCAGGTCCTCATGACCGGACGCGCAGGTCAGTACACCGTAGCTGCAATTAGCCGACCTTATCAGAGAGAGCCGTTGGAGTGACCTGACATTGACCAGCGTCCGGTCAACATCCACCGGATGCGTCCGGTCAGGAATTTTGATCTCTAGACCCTCTTTGATGTCGACCTGATGCTGCAAGCTCAGAGTCTGGTCGTTTACTATTTAGCGTCAGATCCTCCCTGACAGTGAGGCCCCACTGCTACAAATACGACTAGAGACGCGTCCGGTTCTAATCACTGTGCAGTGTCCGGTCGCTCCTCGACTTCTGCTGCGCGCGCTGATCACTGACCGGATGCAACACCAGTGAGTCCGGTCATCACCAAACCAGCATCCGATCAACATTTTGACCCTCCATTCACTTTCAATTCAAAATCCTTTATGAATGAGGTAGACTTCACTTTATCTTTGGGCTATTCCTGAACTCACTAGTGCTAAGTTTGACAAGTGTGCACCACACCTAACCCATTAGACTCACCTAGGTCAAGCTACTAGTTCATACCCCCCCTTAATAGTACGGCAAAAAGAAAAACAAAGTCCTAAACTACTCTAAGTATCTCTCCAATGCCAAATGACACTTAGAACTAGTTCGTCCTTAACCTTGTCGTCCATCCTTTGAAAACCGAAATGATTTTCATCGACAGGGGCATGAAAACCATAATTGTCCAAATGATCATCATTACCATGACCTAACTCAAATTACCTCTACAAAACACACGTTAGTCACAGTAATCTTGTGTCGTCATTAATCACCGAAACCCAACTAGGGGCCTAGATGCTTTCAATCTCTCCCTTTTTAGTGATTGATGACAACACTACCTCGAGTATATATAAAAGAGATGGGTGAGGTTTTCAACATGCTTGGTTTATATAAGCATTTGACAATGAGAACAAGGGGATTAGGAATGCGTATATGACCTAAGCCAACACAAAGTACTCACAAGATATTAATTAAGCATGAGTACGAAATATA